GAGTAAGAAGCCCATGTTTAGCTGCTGTTTAGCTGCTGTCAAGAGTAAGCTGCTCATGTTTAGCTGCTGTTTAGCTGCTGTCAGGAGTAAGAAGCCCATGTTTAGCTGCTGTTTAGCTGCTGTCAGGAGTAAGACGTGTAAAGATCTGCTGAATCAGCACTCCGACACGTTCCGCAGACGTCACATGTTGTTTCGGTCGCTCCAGCTCAGACGTGGTGTCAGGCTAAACACGAGCCGACCTCAGCTAACGGTGGTAAACTCGGCTGAGACTAAATGATTCATCCTGCTCCTCGAGGAGAAGAGTCCCGTCAAAGATCCTGGCTCTGCAGCCTCCCACACATCTGCCTGACAGCCGAGGAAACAAACAAAAACCTCACACACCTGAGCTGTGCTTCATCAGGAAACTCAGCAATTCAGACTTTTTTTTACAACTTTCTCACTAAAGAAACTCTGATTGATGAACTCCAGACGCTTGTCTGTTCAAAGAAAAGACAACTTTATGTTAAACATGTACAAGTTGTTTACAAGCTGACTCTGTTGATTCATTAAAACAACTCTTTCCTTCAGCTGGGACGCACTGAAACGGCCGTGAACAACCTGAACCCGGTGTTCGGGGTGAAGTTTCAGGTGGATTATCACTTCGAGGAGATCCAGAAGCTTCGTTTCGCCATGTTTGACGAGGACAAGTGCGCCTCGCAGCTCTACGAGCACGACTTCCTGGGAGAATTCATCTGCACGCTCGGAGTGGTACCACATAAACTTATTATACAAAAAGAAAATGTTGTGTGAAATAAGAGCAGCAGAACTGTGATCATTCATTATTTTATTCTGTTTATTAGATCGTGTCAAATAAGAAACTCCACAGACCGCTGATATTAGCCAATGGGAAACCAGCGGGGAAAGGATCCATCACGGTAAAATTCATGTGTTAAACCTGTTTCATACAGTAGGTTTTATCTTCAGTCCATGTGTAACAATCTGAGGGAGGTCAGGTCCTGGTCCTGGAGGTCCTGGTCCTGGAGGTCCTGGTCCTGGAAGTTTCTCTGCTCCCACACACCTGATGGATTACTAAAAGGTTTTTGCAGAACATGAAGAGGTGATGTAGTAGGGGATTCTGCAGTACATAGGGGGAGGTTCATGGATGTGTGGGCGGAGTTTATCCTGTGATTGGTGGAATTTGTAATATAGGTGGAATTTTTTTGTAGTGGGCGGAGTTTGGAGCATAGGCGGAGATCTATAGGTGGAGTTCTTCTATTTGGGTGGGGTTTGGAATATAGGTGGAGTCAGTTAGTGTGGGCGTGGTTTTGAATATAGGCGCAGTCATTAAGTGTGGGTGGGGTTTGGAATATAG